ACTTGTTGCATTGTGCACATTGACATCTGGTGAATGTTGCATCTATGCTGCTGGTTGTTGCCACTTTCATCATTGCTAGATCCTAGGCTGTTAGTGCATTTCACTTTCTGATATGCTACAGTAGCTGTGTAGGGGTAGGCTGGGCGCTGAGCGCCAAGTAGGAGTGTGAAGGGACTGGACTCTTGTGTTGTGGTGGAGAGAGAAGCTCTCCTTGACATTGGTTTTCAGTACTGCGGACCTCCATTGGTGAATTATTGGTGCAATGCTGCTCTCTGGACACAGTGTGATTACCTGGCTTTCAATGTGGTGGTGTAATCTGGAATTTGTCATCTCGCTGTTGCTTATTTTCCTTGCAGCTGTTGCTTAAAAAAAAAAAAGAGAAAAAGAAGCGGCAAGGTACTTGTATAGATCCCGGAGCACTCTGGGTGTGAGAGAATTATCTGTGTTAGTTGGGCATGTGTCGGTTTCTGATGCTTATGGTGATTGTGAACCCCCCCATTCCACTGCCAATCTGTTCCCTGCGTTTGATGTTCGTGTTTGTCCTGTGAACTGAAGGTTGTGATGTTGCTTAGGTTTTCTTGCTAGGGAATGTTCAGCTTGAGTTAGTTGTGGGTTGCTTTCAGAGAAAATCTAAACTCCCATGATTGTGGACCAATTCCATTGGATATATGCCCTGCCTTTGATGCTTGTGTTTGTCCTGTGAGCAGGAAACAACATCAAATTTCGTTCGCAAGCGTGATGAAGGAGCCCTGGAATACCTTGAAGATGTCCGCTGCAAGAAATCCAAGGGTAGAGAGGGGTAGGTGTGTGCATGTGCTGCTTGTGTGTGTCAAAAGCTTGCCCGCCTGAAAAGGAACTGCGTGGGGTAGAGGAACTGATGCCCATCTCTGTGCTGGGTCCCTGAGATATCAACCTGTCCTCGATATGTCCATCTCTATCTTCCTCCAAGTAAGTTTGTCGAAGTGCGAAACTTACAAGCTTTTTAGCATTTCGGAATGAGAATCTTTATAGAAAGAAAAGAAAAAAGAGAGTTGAAAACTCTCGAGTCTTTTGGTCTTCGGAAATGTGATGAGCTCAATATTCTCTGCTCCAACCACAGTCCTGGGAACTCAGGTGGACCGAAATCCCCCAGTTGGCTAAGTATGATTCAAAAGGTGATGATGTTGTTCCTAGGTGTCGCTAAACCACCTTTGCCCCCAAATTATCCCGAAGGCCACAGTGGTATATGCGCTGGCTGTGTGATCCGCTGGCATACTGGCCACCAGGGAGGAGGGGGGGGAGCTCGGCGGCAATGTGCAGAAGCTGGACTACGCTGACTTTAGCAATTTTTCGCACTTTGCCAACAAATTGAGAAAAAAATCAGGGATATTGAGTGCTGATCTTCTTGGAGCGTATTAGGAAAATAAAGATTTTTGGATGGTGTGATGACCCGACCAAACACAGATTGAGACACACAGTTGATTTCTGAGTTTTGCTCATGGACTGAATGCCTTGCTGAGTTTCCTGCTTGTTACTAAGTTCTGCATGTCTGTGTGTTACATGCTGCGCCTGCAACAGGCTGCACGGGCCATTTTCACGCCCTTGTTGTTTTCAGCCTTAAAGCCTGAAAACAAGGGCCTACAGGCCCTGTGTTGTTTTCAGCCTAAAAGCCTGAAAACAAGGGCATACAGGCCCTGTGTCATTTTCAGCCTGAAAGCCTGAAAACAAGGGCTTACAGGCCCTGTGTCGTTTCAGCCTAAATCAGGGCCTTGCCGGCCCTGAGTCTTTTCAGCCTGAAACGGAGGGCCATTTTCAGGCCCTCATAAGATCGACCTGCCCTGAAACAAAGGCACCAGACCAGGGTTTTAGCTCAGGCCATTTTTGGCCTATTTTCAAGACAACGTTTGTTTGAGCTTCAACCCCAGGGTCTGGCACGTTTTGGCATTGGCAAGAGCAGCCTTCTGGACGGGCCAGCACTATATAAGACTGGCCCGCCCTGCAGGCTGGAGGTAGTTCCTAGGTACTTCCCAGGCACTTCACGTGCAGTTCAGGAGGCAGGAGGTAGTCTTCAGGATTCGGCAGCAGCACTCTGGAGGAGCGCTGCAGGAGTAGTAGTAGTGTTAGCAGTAGTCTTCAGCGCTCGGCGCTAGTAGCGTTAGCAGTAGTCTTTAGCGCTGGGCGCCATAGGAGCTAGAGTAGTACTAGAGAGAGAGAGATTGGGCGGAGGCCACGGATACTTACCTGCAGCGCAATAGCTCCAGCTTCGCCTTCAAGGTACCTGCAGCACAGCGCCATCTTCACAGGTTAGTACCTGGCATATGAGAGAGAGAGAGAGAGAGAGAGAGAGAGAGAGAGAGAGTTCTTCTTCTTCCTCTTCTCAGTCCACCATCTCCCTCTCACCCTCTCGCTACCTGTTACATGCCCAGTCGGGCGATGTACATAGAAACTGAGGATCCGCAATGTGATAAAAAGGACTGAATGGACAATGCAGTGCAAGAAGAATCTCAACAAGCAATGTGCATTCTAATACATACAAAATGGTGCTGAATAGCGCAGGGAAGACTTAGATACAAAGCCTGACCTGACCGGGACTGACCTCATTCACATAGTATCAGATAGCGAAACAGAATGCTAGAATGCTAATGACTAGCCCAATGAATGTTTGAACGCAGACCAAACATACATCGTATCCATCACCAGGTGTGAAGGAGCCTGGCGCTGTAYACAGGAARAAAGCGCCAGGTCCAGACATACACAGACGAAGAGGAGGGAATCAGACGAAAGGAGGGAGAGAGATGGGAATGTCGTCAACACCAAGTCTTTGTCACGAGTCCCAAATAATCCCTCGTTGCAATGTCTGAAGTCCAAAAGTAGAGTCTGGATCCAATGTCACCAAGCTCTTTCTCTCTTCTCTCATAGTCTGCAGATGCAGTGAAGTCAGATGATGAGAGGGGGAGAAGGAGATGGTGGACTGAGAAGAGGAAGAAGAAGAACTCTCTCTCTCTGTTACGAGCCAGATACTAACCTGTGATGTTGGCGCTGTGCTGCAGGTACCTTGAAGACGAAGCTGGAGCAACTTCGCTGCAGGTATGTACCTCTGGCCTCCGCCCAATCTCTCTCTCTCTCTAGTGCTATACTAGCTATGGCGCCCAGCGCTGAAGACTAAAAGCTAACGCTACTACTACCCTGCAGCGCTCCCTTCAGAGTGCTGCTGCCGAATCCTGAAGACTGTAACTGCCTCCTGCCTACCTGTGAAGTGCATGGGAAGTCCCTATGTATTACCTCGGCCTGCCTGAAGGGCGAGCCAGGCCGAGGAGGCTGCTCTTGCCAATGCCGAAGTGTGCCAGGGGCTGGCGCTGCAGCAGTTGCTTGAGGCTGGCGTGGGAACAGGCTAAGAATAGCCTGTTCCCGAAACCCTGGTTCGGTGCTTGAGTTCAGGGCCGGTCATTCTGATGAACGAACGAAAATGGCCCTTCGTTTCAGGCTAAAAAGGCTGTTGCCATTTGTAGTCTGAAACGACACAGGGACTGTAGGCCCCTGTTTTCAGGCTTTCGGGCTGAACAGACACGGGGCCTGTAGGCCCTGGTTTTCAGGCTTTAAGCCTGAGGGACGCAGGGCCTGGAAAATGGCCCTCGTGTGCAGGCGCAGCATGTAACACTACCTGACTTCACTGCATCAACAGACTACGAGAGAAAGAGAGAGCTTGGTGACATTTGGATCCAGACTCGACATTTGGGCTTCAGACATTTTGACGAGGGATTATTTGGGACTTGTGACAAAGACTTCGTGTTCACGACATTCCCATCTCTCACCCTCCTCTTCGTTTGTTCCCCTCCTCTTCTTCTGTCCATGATCAGGGCCTGGCGCCTTCTTCTTGTTCAAGGCCGAATTCCGCTGCGGAAACCCACACGAGGTCGCCGGCGCGGAATGGGCAAGGAAGACGCTGGCGATTGGCCTGCTGGCTCATGCGCTGCTGCGTCTTAGCCATCTGGTCGCGTGCCTTGACAAGAAGCTCTTGCATCCGACGCAAGATGGTCATCGCTCTCGGCCGTTCGTGGAGTAATAGTGTCCAACGGTGAAGTGACCGGCGAGCCGTGCTCAAACTCAAAAGGCGCTATCCCGATAGCCGGGTGGATGGAAGAGTTGTAGGCCAACTCGACATCCGGCAGCCGCTCAACCCAGTCTTTCTGGTCAGGACGAATGAGAGTGTGAAGGAGAACTTGTGCGGTCTGGTGCGCCCTCTCCGTTTGGCCATCGGTCTGAGGGTGGCGAGCTGAACTGGGCTTGAGAGATGAGCCCCATCGCTTGATGAGCGCCAACCAAAAATCGGGCATGAACCGAGTGTCGCTGTCGCAGACGATCTCCTTGGGGTAACCCTTGGTTCGAATCCAACCGGCGTAAAGAACCTCGGCCAACTTCGGTGCCTTGGCATGATAGCGACAAGGCAAGAGCATGGCGAACTTGGTGAGTCGGTCGACCACCGTGAGAATCCCATCCACTCCGGTCTTGTGCTTGGGGAACGGGCCGGTAATGTCCATGGCAATTGCTTCCCTTCACCTCAACGGGACCGGTAATGGTCGTAACTCGCCGTACGGACGATGGTTGCGGGATTCGCAGCGTCGGCAAACCTCGCATGACTCGCAATAGCATGTGACGTCGCCGAGAAGGTCGGGCCACCAAAATCGCTGGCGAAGTCGGCCATCGTGCGATTGACTCCAAAGTGTCCGGTGGCGGGAGCATCGTGGAACTCGCCAAGAAGCCGTGTACGCAAGTGAGGATCACTCAGTACACAAAGAAGGTCCTTCCCCCGCGTGTGGACAAGCAAGTACCCCTCTTGGATCCGGTAGTGAGAAGGCGCCGAATTAACGCGAAACTCGAAGGTTGAGTAGACAGCGGTACAAATATCCGGACGCCGGGAAAGAGCATCCGCAAAACGGTTCGACTTCCCGGGAATGTGATCGGGAAAGAAGTCGAACTGGTCGATGAA